CGCCAAGGCATCAGCGTTGCCGCTCCGAACCCACGCAGGCTACCACTTTCAGCTCTCGCCTTTACTATTTTCGGCAATGAGAAAGGATCCCGGTCCTTGTCTGCACCACACCTCTACCTGCACACCTCGCCGAGGCCATAGGAGGCCCCCGCTTGTTCCCAAGGCACGACACTTTACGTGCTCCACAGACATAGCACCACTTTAATGAAAATAAATGATAGCTTCTACAAACGCAGTACAGGTAGTCAAACTTTTAACGTCGATCTCCTCATATGTCACCTTTGCGTGCGCGCACTCGCCTCAATTAAACGTACCAAAAAAAATAAATAAATAAAATCCTAATTAAATCGAAAGAGAAAATAGATCGACAAATTTTGTTGGTTTTATAACGTTAGGAAGAAGATTCACGTGCGTCTAAAAACTGCGCACCCACAGACTCTGTATTATTTTTATGAATACACGATTAGTTTTTAAAAGCAAAAATTTATCGCGACTTACGCGACGCACATAATGTTGTAGCCAAAACTCATTCTTGTTACTTGCAAAGACCAGGAGGGTATTTGCACCACCAACGCTCCAATCATTAACCATATTCCATCCATATGATTGTTTTTCCTTTTTATTTTTTTCAGTGGAACAACTATTATTTCCAAAATTTGTGTGATTTCAAGCGTGTCCCAAACATGTGTTTTGCAGTTTCGTATAACTAGTCACACTTATCACATTTCAAAATGATGTTTCCCATCCCTTTGCCCCTTGTGGGTATGATCATGTGTAACTGCATCCAAAGTAAAAATATCAATTTCTTTGAACGTATAACTAGTCACGCTCCGTCCCTCTTTTATCCTCATATCACCAATATTGCACTCTACATTCTTATAACTCACCGAGACTATACCTCTCCATGAAACTAAAACTTACCAATCTTGCTGAGTATAGGATTCCCCTTTCAAACATCTTTAGGACACACTTCCTATTTTGTTTCTCATCCCTATTCAATAGCCTGTAAAATCTTCTGTTTGCGCCCCTCTCTAATTGAAACCACGTGCCGAAGGGGTTTATTTCCTTTAAATTCAATTAACGTTTCTCACTTACTTAGGATGAATTCAATAATGGTCTCTCACCTCTCGCTTTGAAACAGTACCTATTGAGTCAAAGGGTCTGTAAGATTCAATCCACCTTAATAGGCATAACATCTCCTAAGTTACCTTGACAATACAGCCATCCCTTTGCTTCGCACATGCTTTTCAAAGGAACAACCTAACAACTTTCTTAATCGTTTTTATTACTTCTACATAAATATTATGGATCATAACCGTGAAGCACAACAACGCAAAAACAGAGCAATTTAGGGTCAAACTCATCCGATAAGTGATAAGTGTTTGGCTTATCCGGGGTTCTTGATTATGGCTACCAATCTATCTTGCTAGATTAAGCCCTTAGAGGAGGAGCAATCCTCTAGCGTGATTATTATGCTTAGGAACCTCTGCTTCCCATGGTTTCACCCGCATCATGCTCCAATTCACTTTTAATTGTTGTCAATTTGAGAGAAAGTAAACCGACTGTTGATAATTGACAGCGGTCTTCCGCAATTCAGCATACACCTCTAAACACCGTTTAACGAGCCCCAACGAGGTTTCGTTGTCTTATGAGATAACAAAAATATCATTTGCGAGTGCCTTAGCTTTGCATTTTTTTCAACAACTAATTGCAGTCTCTTAATTGTTTGGTTAAATTTAATTTTGTTTATCTCAATCTCCAACTGCTATACAAACAATAAGAGGGTTACACGATACCCCTATTTGAAAGATCATGTCAGTGTGAATTTCTCTGAGCATTTCTCATTCAAGTCAACCATGATCGTCGTTGTAAAAGAGGAGTAGAGGACCGTTACCCATATGCAATCTATAACCCCCACAGGTTTCAGTGTTGTCAATATGAATGCTTACTTCATCCTTTTATAGATCTTTTTCATGTTTACAAGGAGAATTACTCTCTCTCTGATCCCCAAAACCTCTATTATGGCTACTATGTTTTCAAAGTTAATATTCCCCTTACGAAAGCCTATTGTTTTTTGCCCACTAAACCAGGGAGTGTTGGACCTAGTTAAGTAGCGAGTGTTTTGACGAGGATTTTATAAATAACGTTGAGAAGGGAAATTTCCTTGATTTAATATTAATATAATAATCATTTTTGCCATTATCGTGCCTAGTACTCTGACTGTCAGCATAACGCTATAGATTTTTACTCGATCATCTTTTAGGTACTCCCAACAAACCTCATAAAACTCAATGGGCAAGTTATCATCTCCTATAATCCTCCCTCTTACCATTTTTTATCAATGTTTCAGTTCCCCATTTGTCATCGATCCGTGAAATGAGTGTCTTATGTATTTTGGTAGCTTAAACCACCAGTACCTGGCCCAGCTATTGAGTCCGAGCCTCGGTCGATCGGTAGGCCGATCCGTGTCGAGGCTCGGGCTACTGGGCGCAGCCATCCCGAACGTGCAACGTACACAACGAAAAAAACGGGCAAAAAAAAAAAAAAACCCAAAGAAATAAGAAAAACGATTCCCGCTATCGTTTCGAAAAACGAAACGGGAATGCATTTTTCCGCTTTCGCGGGAACATGCATTCCCGTTTCGTTTGTCGAAGAACTCGCCGCCCCCCCCTCTCTCTCTCTCTCTCTTCGATAAACATTCAAGTCGTTTCATAAAAAGAGAGAGAGAGAGAGAGAGAGAGAGAGAGAGAGAGAGAGAGAGAGAGAGAGAGAGAGAGAGAG